TAAATGATATCATTACATTGTGTATATATAAATGCACCCTGATCATATTTTCTTAAATTGTACATTTATTTACTGTTAAAAACCTACCAAAATACACAACTTTTTTTTTCCTACAGTTTTTGTCTTTTTTTTCAATTACATTAAATTTGGGTGGTTTTAGAGAAAACTTAGAGTAAGGGACATGCCTGGGGCAGTGGATAAACTTGTGTTATTGTCTGTTGTGAAGGATTGAGTAGCTTGAGAGTTTTAAGATACAGTGATCCTTAGCCTGTGAAGATGTAAAGCCTGGAAAGAATGGCCACTGACATGTGGGTTGTTTTAGGAGTATTTTAGAGCCTTCTTGCTCTCCTGAGTCATATAGACTAAAGGCCATTTCCTCATTGTTTTGGGAACAGTTTATTTCTAATTTTCATGAAAAATTTCTGGGACAGAGCCCAGCCTGAACACAAGCGTGAACCCCAGTTTACTTGTTAGGAGGCTGAGGCAGGAGAGTCTTAAGTTCACGGCTTGCCTGGGCTTCAGAGTGAGCTCAGGCTAGCCTAAGCACTTTGTAAACATAGGTACAATTGGAGCATGTTAGACATGTGTTCTGTTTTCTCTGTACTGAGGAGCCCTGGGCGAGACTCGGAGATGTGTATTTCCTCTCCTGTTAGGAATTCTGATGTTAATATCTCCGCCTTTCTTCATGATAAGGTGGGTTGACTTAAGGCAGGGCCGATAAGGAAAACAGGGCTAGGCTTTATTGAATCAATTTTAAAGGAGTTGAAGTGTGTCTCTTCATAGGGTGATAATGAAGACAAACGGATTTCTGTTTATGTAGCAATACATAGTACTCCACAAGAGCCTGGGCTCTCTGCTTTTCTTTTTAGACATTGATGAAAGTCATTTATGAAAATAAAATTGTTTGTGCTTAGAATGGTGAATTTCCTGGGCCAGCCCTTTAAACATAAGTTTTATTTGGATACGTAACAGATAATTTTTTCCCATTTATTTCTTCTGTTTTGAGAGTGGTGTACATACTGCCATGGTGCACATGTGGCAGACAGAGGGCAGCTTCCAGGGTTTGGCTCTTTCTTTACATCATGTGGATCTGGAGATGGCAAGCATCTTTATACTGTGAGCCATCTTGCCAGCCCTGCAGATGTTTTAAAACATGTAGCTTGCACGTGCCTTGTTCTTAGTACCTAAAACAATGGCTGGAAACGTTGTTTTACAGATTCTCTGAGGTAGTTGTAAAATCAAGAATAAATTTTATCTCAGTGTAACATGGTTCTTTCTTGTCTTTTAGAGAAAACATAAAGCAGATAGTGAGACTCCTTGCGAGTGTGCGGGCTGTGGACCACGCCGTGTCTGTTGCGAGTGATCACAACGTGAAAGAGCTCAAGTCCCTGATGGAAGGGAAATAAACCTGTGAGACCGAGAGCGTTTCCTTGGCACCATTCCCAGTGTGTAAATTTGTACATATGTAAAGTTTCTTAAACTGTAAGATAACCGATGGTTTAAATACAAAACATTATGTTAATGCTGTGTCCTTAAATGTGATTGCTTCAGATTATTTCTAGGAGTCTATGACTGTGTTCCTTACTGCCTGTCATACTTTGTTTATGGAAGTATTTTATGTCGTCATTAAGTTAACTTCATTTATGTGTCCTCGATAAATGATGTGTGTGCAGTGTAAATTGTGTTATTATGCACATATATGTATATATTTCTACCACCATGGATTTTCATGCTGGAAATTTGCAGTGTTTTTCTAGAGAGGAAGCTTTTTAACAACAGAAATGACCCAGTAGCAGTCGTCTTAGGGAAACACTGCCCGGCTGCAGCAGGAGTGCTGGCAGGTGATGGCCTTCACTCCCTCTCTGCCTAGCTCCTGCCTCTTGTGCTGTGCTGCCTTACAGTGAGAGCTGAGCTGTGGGACTCATAGTCCCGTAGAGTGAGTGTGGGACTTCTGTGAGTCAGCCTTGAAGGCCAGTGTGGGTTTAATAAGAGCTCTAGGTGGTGTATGCAGTACAGTTTGGGGTGGGACATCAGTTTCTCTTTTGACAATAAGCCCACAGACTAACTGCATGGTTTAGGCTGACTGTCCTTTCTCATTCATGATTTTACTCCCTGTCCAGCTTATGGATACATGAATTTCTATAGTCCATCATATTTTAAATCCCTCATATGTGAGTTATATATGCAATAAAGAATATGCCTTGCTGACTAGATATACCCAGGCAATTTACTATTGGTGGTCTTCTGTAATGTTTATACCACATTGTTAATACTCAGAGAAACTTGTTTTAAAGTTAATGCTTTCTGATTCTGTGGTTTTCAAAAGAGGAACTTTTTGCAAATTAAGGACTATTGTTTGATAATTATGTGTAATTAAGCTTTAGTCAAGCATTAAATTAATTTTTAAATACATCCTTTGTTGTCTTTTGCTGGTGACTGAGTCTGGACCATTTCAGAGTACAGTGAGGCTGTTAACAGGCCAGTGCATACTCTTACCTAGGACAGTGTCATGTCCTTCTTCCTCTGTTACTTGTTTATGTTTGCAGGATCAGGTCTTACCTCCAGAGTTCTTCTGGGTGGATTTTTTTGTTATAACTTTGTGGACTCCTGAGTGGAATTAAAATTTATAACACTCATCCTCAAAGTCAGTGAATTAAAACAAACACAAATAGGTATTTAGGCCTTAAACTATGTGTTTCCAAGCTGTCCTATAAGCCATTCTTCTTGTATGTTTTAAGTAACTCTTAGATAAGTCCTGAGACTTCTAGTTTCTGGGAAGAGGCTTGAACACTATCCCGAGACCCTGGTAACGGGTGAATGCAGCACAGAACTGCATTTAAAACAGTGGTCTTTGTGTCTCAACATGTTTGTCATTCCTAAATGAGTAAAGAACACTAAAAAGGGAATTCTTAGTTGCTGTAACAGTGTTATAGTTGAGTATCTTGAAATAGTTACTCTCCAGTGCTGAAGGCCAGAGATTGGAAATAGTGTTGCCAGGGCCGTTTGTCGTAGGAAGGTTCTCACCCTTGGCTTATCCTTTTCTAATCCGCCATTTGCCTCTTGCCACTTCATAAATATCTGATTCTCTTCTGCCTCCTTTGTAAGGGTACTTGTGATTTCCTGTAGGACTCCTGCATACTCACAGTCATCTACTGACTGTCCCAAACCACCTCCGGCTTCTTTGTCCAATCACCCACCATTTGTTGGCTTGTAAATATTAGTGTGAATATTTTGAGATGGTTTGTCACACGCCTCACTCATTGCTCATTTTCAAGAAGGCATTGGCTTCTCTGCAAACCTTTAGACTATTTCTGTACCTCTGAAGCGTTTTAAGATAGCCTACCATAAAGATACAGTTCACTAAAAAATGTACAGCTATTTGGGAATGCTGTAACAAAGTAATAAATATAAAAGGGACTACTTAAAGGTCACTGTGTTTTTCAAATCCTGGGCTTTTGTCGTATTTTGAAAGGATTTGGGAAAGCTTTCCAGTTTAATCTGAGAAATTGTGGCCTAGGCGTTTGAATCACCACCAATAGGCAGAGTGAAAGCTTGTTTAAATAGAGCCTAATACCATGATTGCCCTCGAGGAAGGGCTATGGTGTAAGTTCCACTGGATAGTGATTTCAGTGTCAAAAAATTGTACATCCCTGGGCCTGAGGGTACCCTCACTTTGTAAAATGCCTGTCTGGTATGCCTGAAGTCCTGGGTTCAATCCTTGCTACACCAGCCTGTGCTCAGTCAAAAAAAATAAATGTCACCTCCAGGGTACTGCAGTTCACTCCTGAGCCCTTTTTTGTTGGTGCATATTGTTGACAGGTATGTTCCCACCCACTCCTATTTTTTTTTACTTCAAGGATTGTTCCCCAACTGAAATGGACACTTCTTGAAAGGAAAATGTCTAATTACAGTCTACTACGCATTTTTAATTATCAATGTAAGCTTGTTACTGTAACCACAGCAAACAACAAACGTTTTTCTAAGGAGAGTAAGTGAAAAGATCAAGTGGCTTGTGGATTAGTATTTTGAAACCAGGGTGGATTTGTCTTCGATAAAATGGAGAAATGTTGAGTCACATGATAGAGCCTGTTAGAGGAAATAATTTCGTGCAACGCATCATAAATTGTGCTTAGAGAAGAATGCAAAAAAGGGGAAGAGAGTAGGATAAAGCAAGTGGAAGTACAAATGTTGGGTTCCTCGGGTTTTCAGTTCCCTTTCAAAGCCCTATTAACTACATCTTTCTTCCATTTTGGTCTCTTAATGGAAGCAGGATTCTAATTCTGCCGCACACAAAATCATAGGCATGATGCGTTGAGGGGGCTAAAAATGGTATGAGAGCAGTGTAAACCCCCACGGCTGGCAGCCGCTCCATCACTAAGTGACAGCCACGCTCTGCTAACTGCCTTGAGCTCCTGGCTGCGGATGCCCTGCGTCCGTCCTCGCTGCAGGGCGTTCAGCTGAGCCCTGCGGGCCCGACGCCCGGCACCATGGACAGCTCTGCAGGCACCGCGGCGCGCGGCTGGCTCGCAGCCCTCCCTCCTCGGCCCCGGCCCCGGCTCAGCCCTTCCCGCACTCCCTCCGCGTCGCCCGCGCGCTCGGGCCGCTCCAGGCGAGGAGCCCGGGCCCCGTGTGCCGGCTTCCCCGGCCGTGCGGCCCGCCCGCTCCCGCCTCGTAAGGCGTCACCGACCCGGGTCGCGGCGGCCGCAGCACCAGGGTGGCCTCGCGCGGGCGGAAGCGGCCCCGCCCCTTCACCCCGAGGGGCGGGCCTTCCGCCCCCGGCAGCGGCGCAATGCGGAAGAGCCGGGCCTGCTGGAGCGGAAGTGACGCCTCGGGCGGCTGGAGCGGCGGCGGCGGCGGCGGCGGCTGCGGGAGGAGGAGGAGCCGGAGGGAGAGGTGAGGCGGCGGCGGCGGCGGGGCGGCGGCGGGGCGGGGGCGGCCGGGCGGGGCGGGGGCGGCCACATCCCCGGCCGGCAGGGCGGGCGGACGCTTCCTGAGCGGCGGCGGCCGGGGCGCGAGCGGTGAGAGGCGGCGGCCGCGGGGCGCGAGCGGCGGGTGGCGGCGCTGACAGCGGCTGTCACCGCGCGGGCGGGAAGGCACGCGGGCCGCGCAGGCTCCCGGGCGGCTCCCGGGGCGCGCAGGGGAGGCGCCGGGCTGTGCGGTGCCCCCGTTTCCCCGGCTACGCCGGAACCCGAGCCGCGGCGGGCGCCTTGGTCACCGTGGCCCGCGGCACCTGCGAGGCTCCCGCCCCTGCCCGCCCTCCCCCAGGCAGATCGGGGATAGACAGATGAGCAGCTAGGTAGGTAGAGCAGCCTCGGTGCCCCAGCGGTTCCCTTCACTGGTGACAGATCGGGAAGCAGGAAGCCGATCGACAGCCCCAACCGAGAACCGAGGACGCACTCCACGTTTTCCCTGTGCGTAAACATAAATGGGAAATCCACCTTAACCCACGCCAGGACCAGCCCTGCCTCGCCTGGCCCTAGCTTGAGAATTGGAAGCCGTTTCCTTTTGCCTTTTGGTGAAAATTTGGCGACGCCTTATCTTTTGGAATGAATGGTTCACCCCTGGTTTCTCTCTTCCTCCACCCCCCCACCCCCATCAAACTTGGCAGGGAGGGACCGCTGGGTGTCTGGCAGGCCATCGGCTTGACTTGGCTTGGCTTCACAGGGCTGCCTCTGAAGAAAGGAGAATGGCGTTCAGCAAAGGGTTCCGCATCTACCACAAACTGGATCCCCCACCCTTCAGCCTCATAGTGGAAACTCGGCATAAGGAAGAATGTCTCATGTTCGAGTCTGGGGCTGTGGCTGTGCTCTGTAAGTCACGTGTTTTAACCTAACTGATTATGATCTGTTTTGGTTTGTAACTCTCAAGAGTTCTCATATGTATATATATCCATGGAAGCCTTACTGAATTTTATCTGATGGATTTATTCTTTTACTTAATTTGGATGAACCCTTATTTCCTGTAAACTCAGACTTAGGTTTTGTTTGGGAGACGGTGGTTCGGGAGGTGCAGATTTTGCTGACAGGATTTTGTTTCCCCTGTATTCTGCTCTAGAAGTGTACCTTTTTGTAAAATGTTGTTGCATTTATGTCTTACTATATTAACCCAATAAGACAGCTTGCTTGACATCTGTAATGCGTAGAATTTTGCATAATAACGATATTATGTTATAGGTTTTTGTGTATCTTATCAAGTTGAACCCTTATTTTTGTTGTTGTTTACATATACAGACAAAGACACACACAGACACACAGACACACACAGACACACACACACACACACACGAAGTTTGGGTTAATTTGTGGGAAATGGATGAAAATAAAAAATACTAATTAACATTATGCTTTATTCTTTAATTTTTACATTTAATTATTTACTTGTGTGTAAGTGGGGGTAGGTACATGTGGAGGTCAGAGGTCAGCTTGTGGGCGTAGGTTCTCTCCTCCTACTATATGTGTTCAGGGATAGAACCCAGGTCTTGGGGCTTCATGGTAAATGCTTTTTACCTGCAGAGACATCTCAATGTACCCCATGCTTCAGATGACCAGTTTGGGGTCATCTCAAGTGTAATGTTTCTCAAACAGATTTTCTGTTATAACCCGAGCCCCCATGATGTAGCCAACGCCATTGAACTACAGATGCCCCTAGCTGCATACCCTGAGTGCTGGGAATACAGGCAGGCACTACCGTGCTAGGTTTGTGCAGTGGTGGGGCTAGAACTCAGGGCTTCATGCAAGTACTTCCACAGCTGAGCACCCTAGCTTCTGGGTTACACTTCCCTTGGGTTGTTTATTGAGCAGTCTTGTTTGGGCTGGAGATGCTCGCACAGGGGCTTTGTGTGGTTCCCATCACCCTCACGAAGGCCTGGAGCTTTCAGGTCAGATCGTGTATCAGTTCTTAGGCAAAGAGTCTGTCTCAAAAATAATATGGAGAGCAACAAAGGAAAATGCCTTATATCAACCTCGGCCTCCGTGCATTCTCACATGCATACTCATATATATGTATACAGATATGTGTGTATGTGTGTGTGCATTGTATAATGCATATTATATATTACTATGTGTGTATACATATATAAACACACATGTATACACACAATAATGTTTGAAAAACATTCATTATAAGCCATAAATATTTTAAATACTACTCTTTCTTTAGACTCAATAAGTAAAGAGCATAATGTCCTGACCTATGCATATATGATTTTCATATTGGTTCAGGTGTAACCTGAGTAAAATTTTATACTGGTAGGGAAAATAATAGTGACATAATGAACAACTCTTAAGCAAAGGTTAATACAAAACATACATATGTTCATATATATATATATGTTTATATGTGTATATGTATTTATACATATATATTTTTTCTTGTACATACAGTAACATGGCTTGAAGGGAGAGGCAAGGGACTAGATACATTCCAAGAAAAAGGTTAAGTAATATTCAGTATGAACATCATTGCTCGAAATTGGTTTTTATGGTTTTGGGTTTTGTTTTTTTGTTTTGTTTTTGTTTTTTGTTTTGTTTTGTTTTTTTGAGACAGGGTTTGTCTGTATAATAGCCCTAGATGTTCTGGAACTAGCTCTGTAGACCAGGCAGGCCTTGAACTCACAGAAATCCATCTGCCTCTGCCTCCCGAGTGTTGGGATGTGCAGGCGTGTGCCACTACCGCCTGGTGGTTTTATGATTTAATAAAGTGAAAAGGCCATGCTCCAGTGTTCACCCACACAGCATACGGTTTCATACCGTAGATGCACTTACACTAATGAACCCTGACAGAAAAGCATGAGAACAGAGAGCTCTGCTTAGTGCACTCTGAATACTACAAACCCAGAGACCCTCAAGGTGAAGATAGAAAAACAAAGCAGCCAGCCACTAGCTCTCACTCTACCTGAGACTGAAAGGGCGATCCTGTCCCCACGAGTCCTCAGTGTGCTGGAGAGTGAATGCTTACGACTAAATACTAAATACCCGCCTGAGACCCTGAGCTCCTTCTTATAGCTCTCTCTAGTGCTGGGATTAAAGGTGTACACCACCACCGCCCAGCCTCTATGGCTAACTAGTGTGGTTGCTGGGATAAAGGTGTGTACCATCACTGCCTGGCCCCTATGGCTGTGGTTGGCTTTGCATTCTGACTTTCAAGCAAGCTTTATTAGATCATAAACAATGTATCGCTTCAGGTTAGTAATTTAAAATGTTTTGGTTGACATTACCTGAGTTATTAATGCCTAAGTTCTAGTATATTTTTAAATTGTGGTTACTCATAATTGCAAAGGGAAGTCACTGTGGAGCTTTCAAATTATAAATTATCTGTAGTTTTTCAAGTTATTGCTATAAGTTAAGGCTAGAAAATTGAAGAATAATCATACTTCTAAAACCTCTAGTAGTTATCTTTTATTCCAAATAATGGTTTTTAAAAGACTGAAACATCTATTTGGGGCATTAGTTATGAGGTAGAATAATATTAAAGTATTATCTTAACTATATATTTTTACTGCTGGGAATTGAAAGTAAGTACTGCATACTAAGGCAAACTAACATTTGTAGCTTAATTGTTTCTTAATTTTGTCTTCTTTGGATTTAAGGTATGTAAGTAATTCTCAGAGGACAGGGAAGTTTGAATACTTCTCTCTGTAAAGCTAACATAAATGGATACAAACTTTCTTGGATGTGTTATCTTTTATATGAACTCTACAATAACACTTAAAATGTATTTTGAGTTTTAATTGATATAGAGAAACATAACAGTTACACATGTAGCTACATCACATGATGTTTCAACACATTTATACATTGTATAATGTTGGACATTTGCCATTATGGTGAAGACATGCAAAACCCTTTCTTCTAATTCTTATAGAACATTGTTACCTGTAGGTACCCTACTATGTAATAATAAAATATTAATCTCTAGGAGCTAACTTTATTCTTTCTATATAAATTGCCTTATAAAATTCATTAAGTGCTAGTGTTAATGTTACATATCTGTAACCCCAGCACTCAGGAGGCAGACGCAGAAATATCTTGATTTTGAGACTCTCCTGGGCTATGTAGTAATGGCCTGTCACACAAGTTTAATTCCACATTTGGTCTGGAGTAGTATGAAGATAGATGTTGTCCTGTATAACATTTGGCTTTTAGAACAACCTGCAGAATTTTGAATGCCTGCTGCATTCGGGGAACTGACCCAAAGATCTGGGTGTGTTCTCTTCACATTTACCTAAGTTCCCAGCCTCTGGATTTCAGGACATCCTGCCCATCAATCTGCAAGAAATGTCTTCTGCAGTCATTTTTATAGTACATCAAAGAGTGGTCCTGTTTTCTTAAGCTACAATTTCATGTCCTCAGCCTGTTCCTTAAGGTCTTCCTGAACCTCACTCCACACTGTGTATAAGTGGTGATCTCCTTCCGGGAGATGTCAGTGCCCTCCCAAGTACTAGGATCTACCATTCCTCATCGTGTTCTTATAGGCTCATACCAACCTAACCAGTCATGGATGGTTTGGGTTGTTTGTTTGTTGTTTCAGGTTTTTTTCTGACAGAGTCTCTCATAGCTTAGGCTAGTCTCAAACTTGCTTTGTAGCTGAAGATGACCTAGAACGTCTGACCCTCCCAAGTGCTAAGCCAGTGTGTCCTAGTCTGAGCCAATGGTTTTCTAAGTCTTGGCTGCACAACGTAGTCATCTGGGAAGATACCTTGGACAGTATAAGTAGCAAGTATGGGTGGTTGGTCTGTTACAGTAGTACATGTTTTTCTGTAGATGAATTCATTAATAAGAGACCAATGCTTTTTGTGTGGTTCAATGTTTTTAGTGTGCGTGAGTGACACACATACCCCCCAACACACACCCAAAAAAGAATTTCATAGGAGGACAAGCTGTCAGGTAGACATGCCTTAAATTTGCAACCTTGTGGTTTGTCGTCCATCTCATACTTCAGTAAATAAATAATCAATTTCACAACTATTTTTTAAATAGATTATGAAGGAGAAAGGTCATTTGGTGTGTGTGAAGTCTTGAATTCACAACATTGTAAAAACATAAACACTAAATATAAAGCAAGCAAACAAAACCCAATGTGATGATATCCATTGTAACTCTTAAAAGTAAAGCCCTTGCTCCTTCTGATATCTCATGCTAGTACAATGGCAAAGTTAAGTCACTTTTTGATCTTTCCAGTGGTATAATTTTCAGCTTTTTAGAATAGCATAATTTGGGTCATTTCTTGGCTCAAGTCATGTGCTTATTAGATAGCAAAGCCATAGCACTTAATTCTGGACCTAGTTTTACTCCAAGATATGCATCTGAATTCCTTTCTACCTCATTCTTCATAATTATAGAGGTGAGAATCATATTACTTCAAGCCAATAGTATACCCTACATACCTTTGCCGAATGTAAACTGTCCTGATTCTGTGGACCTGCAGTCTGAGGAAAAATGATAGTGCAAAAATAATTTACTTACTAGTTTACTCTGCCATCAAAATATTAAGCTCTGGATTTGTAAACTTGGTTGTTCCATGGTACCTTCATGTCTTATTGTATTGTAGAATATCTGAGAAATCTGTTTATTAAATATACCCCAGCAGTAAGACTTTTTGAAAAGGGATTTCACTCTACCTTGAGGCTGGCCTCAAACTCATAACAGTCCTCCAGCCTCAGACCCAAGTGCCAAGATTACAATAAACATTTAAATCCCAATAACTTCAGCAACTGGTCAAGCAATAAAGCAAACAATTAGAAATATTTGGTTTTCTTAATAAATCGCCACAGTTACTAATGGGGTGAGCATGCTTGTTGAGTCCCAGGCAG